AATAGGATTGCTTGCAAGAGTCGTGGTACTCATATTATTGTACCAGGCTATCGGAGTTTGTGAAGTAGTGATGTTTATCTCTTTGAGTAAGGACTCCAACCAGATGATTTCACAAACAAGATGCGTAGGGCCCTGTACTCAGATTTGGCACTTGACTTTGATACAACATTCTGCTTCTTTAAACTCCAGGAGATCAAATTCTCTTTAAGATAAACGTAGTAACACAAGGTCGAGCAGTGATCATCCTTCGAGTAGGCCCAATCGACATCTGAATACCCAACAATATTTAGTCTGTCACTGGGTTTAATATGGAGTCCGATATTAGTCGTTTCTTTTAGATATCAAAGAACTCTTTTCAAGACTTTCATGTGAAGATCAGTTGGTTTTTGCATGAATTAGCTAAGTTTATTGAGAATGAACGATATATCTGCCCTTGTGTGAGTTAGATATTGAAGAGATCCTATCATTTTTTGATAGGGAGTTGGATCTTTTAGTTCTTCCCCTTTTTCAGTGGATAGGTTGTTGCCGATTACTACCGGTGTCGGATACGGTTTAGCAGAGAACATGTTGATTCTTTTAAGGAGTTCTTCAATGTATTTTGTTTGAGTAAGGAAGAGACTAATGTCATCCTGTGTTGCTTTGATGCCGAGGAAGAGATGAATGTCTTTAAGATCTTTGAGTGCAAATGAGTTATGAAGTTGGTTGATGACACTTAGCATCATCTCTGGTCTATTCCCTATAATAATTATATCATCAACATAAATTAGAATGAAGATTTTGGGTGTTTCTACAAGGAAGAAAAAGAGGGATGTATCTGTTAATGAGTTTTTGAAGCCCCATTCGAGCAGTGAGGATTTGAGCTTATCAAACCATGCTCTCGGAGCTTGCTTGAGTCCATAGAGAGCTTTACTGGGTTGAAAAATATAGTTAGGGTGTTTGGGATCTTCGAAGCCTTCCGGTTGCTTTATAAAAATTGTCTCTCTTAATTCTCCATTTAGGAAGGCATTGTTCACATCCAGCTATTTGATATTCCACTGTTTGTTACTGCTAACACTAGAATCACTCGAAGCATTAATGCCTTAATCACTGGGTAAAGGTTTGATAGAAGTCTATCGCAGGTGTTTAATGAAAACCCTTTACCACTAGTCTAGTCTTACTCCGTTGGAAACTTCCATCAGCGTTGGTCTTGATTTTGTAAACCCATTTGTTGCCAACCAGTTTCATTTCAGGGTGATGAGGAACCAGTTTCCATGTCTGATTGTTCCTGAGGGTAGACATTTCTTCTTTTATGGCCAATTTCCAGTGGGGAATTCTGATTGCTTTAGTGATCAAAGTAGGTGTTGTAAGATCTCTTACTAGGACTGCTTTGAATTGTTAGAAGTCTTGTGACAGGTTCCTCGGTCTAAATATCCCTACTTGAGCTCTGGACATCATTTGGTATTTTGGTGCTTCTGTCAGGATATTTTCAGCTTGTATTCTATCTTCTTCTTGATCTGATGGTGTTATGCTCTAACTGGGAGAAAATACCGGTTCTTCTTGCAATAAATTATCATTGGTCGGAGGATCTCTTAGTGAGTGTTGCGGTGAGGACTCTACCATAGGGGAGGAAGCTGGTGCTAGAGATTCTTCAACGATTTGTCTGCTTGAACTCCCTGGGAAAGGAGATGTAGGGATAGAAGATATATTCAGCCAAGAAGGTAATGGACTCTAGAGACAGTTTCAGGTTGATGTGTTTTCATGAAACCATGGTGATAGAGGAATTCTAGTTCATTGAAGTCTATATTTCTGGATACATAAATCTTGCCAGTGGAGTTGAGACATTTGTATCCTTTGTGTGGAGAACTGTAACCAAGAAAAACACATTTTGTTGAGTGGAAGGTGAGCTTGTGATTTTGGTATGGTCGTACACAAGGAAAATAGACACACCCAAAAGTCTTTAGCTGTTTGTAGTTAGGCTTTTTGTGGTAAAGCTTTTTAAGTGGCAAGGACTGATTCAAGATTGGTGTAGGCATTCTATTAATTAGGAATATGACTGTTTCAAAAGCATCAAGCCAATATTTCAATGGTACACTCAACTCAGTAAGAAGAGTGAGACCGATTTTGGTTATATGCCGATGTTTTCTTTCATCTCGTCCGTTTTGAGCTGATGAGTAGGGACATGAGTATTTAATCTTAATTCCATTATTTTGAAGAGTCTGGGCCAGGTCAGCGAATTCTCCTCCCATGTCTGATTGAAGACACTTTATTTTCTTTCCAAACTAGGTTTCTGTTTGGTGTTTGAACAGAGTAAAGGCCTGAAAAACTTCTAATTTTTATTTTAGTGGATAAAGCCAAGTGAACCAACTGTAATTGTCAATGAAAATTACATAATAACTATGAACAATTTCGAAGGGTGTTTTTGCATGTGATAAAGACAGAGAGTAAGGAAGAAGATGGGACTTGCCCAGTTGACATATATCACAAAATATGTTTTCATTAAACTTAAATAGTTCATTACATATTTTTAAGATGATAGATAAGGTTTTTGAAGGTGGATGTCCGAGTCTTCTATGCCACATTAATGTTCTTGATTAAGGGGTTTGGTTGTTTTTGCTAGTGATGAAGGCTTGACATGAAGGATGATAAAAAGGAATTGGTCTTGATGAGCCCAAGCAGTATAAGCCGTCTTTAAGCTTCCCTAACAGCAGCACCTTGCCTGTGGCTTTGTCCTTCACAAAACAAGAGGATGAGTTAAATATAACTTCAACATTGTTAGAGGAGGTAAGTTGAAAAACACTTAGTAAATTTTTATTGATTTTTGGTACACGTAGCACTTTGTTTAGAGTTAATTTTCTGTTTCTGGGAGTGTGAATGTTTGTCTTACCAATGCGTATGATAGACATTTTCTCACCATTTCTAATCATGAGACTTTCAGTTCCTTTATATTGTTGCTCCAACTGTAGTATGTTTGCATCTCCAGTCACATAATTTTTGCACCTCTCTCAGTATACCAAAGGGGATGGACAAGGTGTTATTCGAAAGCGGTTGAACGGGTTTACAATGATACGCCTTAGGCGAGGGTTAATGGAGCTTTCCCACATAAATATTAT